AGAGAGTCCAGGAAGAACTGGAGCTGTTCCCTGATGCATTCCCCTTGTCGGCTCTCCCTCAGCATACCAGCCGGAGGGCTGCCTGCAGTAACCCCCATCCGCTCCTCTCCGGTGGAACGAGCATGCATCCCCCAGGAGCTCTGCAAGGCCAGCAAAGCTCTTGGCAGCGCAGTACCTGCGGGTGCTGCGCTGTCACACAGCCAAGAAACAGTTTGTCACGAGGCAACCCCCACCCCCACATGCAATTTTTGTTCAGGGAACAAATCTGCAGGCATAGCATGCTAAGACTTCTGTTTCTTGGTGGCAAATTCCTTCCCACCTACCATTCCCATACTCTCTTCACACAGAAAAAGTCTCCACACTGGACCTCCTCAACACCCTCCCCTTTATATAAGTTTCCCCAAAAGGATCAGAGGAGGTGCCTTTTATTAGCCAAGCAGCCTTGAAAATGATATTGTTTTCCAAGAAAAAGTTTTATGTGCCTTTCATAATCCAGAAAGGATTTATGTAGTTTCATCCAGTTTCTCCTAATGCTGCAGTTACAGGATTACATGGAAAAAAAGGCCTGGGAGGCAGACAACCTGCTACATAAACTAAAAAGTGAGCATTCAGACTTATTAAATAAAAGTTATTTGGGGAAGATTGGACTCAGATTCATCAGGATGAGAACTCATAAAACTTGAAAGGAACCAGGAAAGAAGCCACCTACAAACCTGGATTAAAGCTGCACCAGAAAGATAAGTGACCTAATAACAAAAAAACACCCTCAGACCAAGTGACCTAATAACAGAAAAAAACCCTCAGACCAACAATAGTAATGCAGAACGTTGGATCCCTGGGATATCAATTACTTGCTGTCCTATCTGCTTCCAAAAAGAGGTTCTATATGCTCAAAAGAGGAGTAAGTAGGTCTAGGTATTCTTCTCTGCACCCCCAAATGTAAGGCTGCTGGAGCTTGGTTTTCTTTGGAGGGAGAAGAGCAACTAGAAAAGAAATGGACATTTTTCTCCTATGTCCACACTAAATATAGCCACCAAACATACACACCAGTAAAAGCAGACAATATAAGACCAACAGAACCCAAAAAGAATGTCATCAAGCTAAATCTGATAACGTTTTTAGGAAAGAAAAATCTTTTAAGGTCCAGTTGGCAATGATTTTAATAAGAAATACAGGAATTTTCTCAAGGCTGCCATGTGATTCAGAAAACAAGAGCTCAGAACTGCTGCCCACAGTTATTGTGATTTCTTTGCAACAGGTTATTAAGCTCTGATCTGCAGTATAAAATAATAGTGGAGACAGATATAAATAAGATCAAAAGGTATGACTCAAAGTCCCCAGATAAAGAGAACTCCAATTGAGAAACTGCTGTCCTCCAAAGCCATCCAGGCCACCAGGAACACAGATGTACAACGGCTTGCAGAAAGTGGGCCAATCTTGAAATATTAGTATTACAGCATAAGGCTTTTCAAGCTGAATTTTTGTAGCTCTGGCAGGCAGGAAGCTAGAAATAGAATGCTTTGGATTCAGGATCACACCTGCAGAGATCTGCCTGTGGAAAACACCAAGAGCAAGTGCCAGAGAGCATTTGAGTAGAGACCTAAGAAAACTGTCAAAAAGGAATTAAAAAAAAAAAAAAAGCAACTCCACACACTTGTCAATAAGAAAAAAAGAGATCAGTGGAGACAGTTCACTAGCTTCTTTCCAAAAATGACTTTGTGGCTCTTTCGCTCCCTGCTGCAGATTAGGAGCCAGGACACAAATCAATCCTGGAACAGGTAACTCCTTGCTTCTCTTTACAGCAATGTCCAGCATCAAATTAACTGGGAGTGAACTTATTTCAAATGAGATACCTCTGCACTGAGTAAAGTCAGGCAGATAATTTCTTAGGCCAGTATAAAAATTCCTTGCACTAAATTTGAATGACTGAATTCAAGTAAGTTAAGCATAAGCACTCGGTCTGCTCAACTTGCAGGCAAGTGGATTTGACAGCACTGGTAGAGATTTAAGGTCTGTTCTTAGAATAGAAACTTGCACCTATTTCCAAAGCTATTTATTTTTTTGCAAGTACACCATGCTTTTTAGAAGAGAAGCGTATCTGTAGACTGCTTCAGAAATCATGTTTATTCACACTTAGAGATTAGAGCAGCAAGGGAGTGGAAAGTGCTGCAGCTCTCTCTTAAAATTAAGTTTCTTGCTTGACAGCATGGAAGTGAAACAGATACCTATTTTTCAATTGTGGTCAAAGAACTTTAATAATAGGGCCCACCACCAAATCCTCCAGCTGTTCAGCCTATGCACCAAAACAAATACAGAACTACCCTTCTCCTCTTCCACAACAGCATAATGATATATATCTTGCCATGCTTGGCTTTTAATCTCCTCTTTGTAAGCCTCCATTCCATATTTAGGTTAAGAATGTTTTGCTTCTGCCCAAAAAGTGAGTTTCAAAAACCCCACCTACCCAGCTAATTACAAAACTTCTAAAAAAAAAAAAAAATCATCCTCTTCCTTTAAACCAATTCAACTAAACAGCACTATCACACGAGTTGCCCAAAAGAGACACACACATGAGTTTTGAAGCAAGCCAGCTGTCGTGGGAGGTCAACGTGATGGGAAGGGAATGACTGAAAACTGTAACCTTATTTAATTTCAACACCCTACCGGAGAGTAACAGGCAATTTGATTCTCACCCTTAATTTGTACATTCTCATGGGAATTTGGCAAGGTTGCTCTGAAGAAGAAAGTTGGAAGAGCTCTTGCAAAAGACACCGTGCTATGCCAGATCAAGCGAACTATCAGTTATTTACATTCATTTCAAAGGACACAAAGGAAGCCATTTATTTCCACTATCTCTGCACTTTTTAAAGAGAAACCGGTTAGGACAGAGCTGGTCCTAACACAGGGCTTGCCCATACAGACCAACCAGCATAGCGATTCTGGAGTAAACATTCAAGTATGCTCAAACTAGCCTGAATTAATTCACAACTACAGAGACTGTTCCAGGGCTCAGCAATCTCAGGAGGGAACACACACACATTAGGAAGTCACCCTAAACTTGTGCTACTGGGATGTTTCCTAAGGCAGGCAAGAAAAGCTCTCTGCCCACATGGGAAATTGATCTGTGGTCTGCACCTCCCAAGCCACCCAGAATTTTTAAGAAGCCTATTTTAAGCACCACTTTCAGGAACTGTAAGGAGGCATATTTGGCTTAGCCGCATTTGCAGGATTAAAACGCACACCTAATTCTCCCAGCTGGTAAATGAAAGGACTGCTAGGCTAACGCACAGCAGTGCATTCCAACCTTTCAAACAGGGGAAATAAATCGATCAGCATAACATTCATTTCTTCAGACACATTGATGCAAATAGAACTAGAAAAAACCACAAGTCTCACTACGGGTTAAGAATCCCATCATGCTATCTGGAGTCTGAACAACGGGGGCTGGGGGGGAAGAACCATCCTTCGTCTGCACATGCAGCAAAATCCATCTTAACCAGCCAGCAGTTAAGTGACATCACTGCATTTCCCACATCCCAGCTGCAGATCCTGCAGTGCAGAAACCACAGCCGAGGGAGGCTCTCCCTCACCTCTCCTTCAACAGCTCCAAAACCAAGTAAGATTTCCTCATCACTACACAGAAGCCGAAAGACAAAGATAACCAGTGCTGCACCGGTCAATAAAAAGCAGGAGTATGTTCACTTTCTATCCACGAAGATGAAATAAAGATGAGGTAACCCCGCAAATTGAATTAAGCAGGAAAAGGGAGATCAAATGCCCTGCTGTCAAAGTTTAGCGTGTGGACAAAAACAGCACCCGAAATTTAAGTGGTAATTTAAACTTATTATCTAGAAAGACCATTCACCAAGGTAGCTTTTGCAGCTGATAAAAGTTGAAATCAAATATTCCTCATTACATCTCCCCTCTCAGGCAAATCATCTCCCAGGGACTGAGCTGCTCCTGGTACTTTGATCAGATCTCCCCAGGTATGAACAGTCCAGTGGCACTCCAAATATCCTTCAGTTTTCCAGCACAGGAGTCCACACATCCAAACTTGAAATTTCACTTAACCACTACTTTGAAAGCTCTTTCCTGCACAGGCCATATACCATTATTATTTGGCTTGCAGAGAGGAACAGATTTAAAAAGGGAAACAAAAAAACTCTTTTCCTTTCTCATAAGCAAGAACTTCTACAAGAATTAAGATGCATTTGTCAAATCAACACCTCCCACAATTCAGATAAGGTAAGGACAGAAAGCCTCAGTCTGATTTTGATGTAACTAATACACAAGCTACACCAAAGAGGCAGAAAGGGTCACGTCTCTGCTGAGCCTCTGGTCCTGAAGCAGAGGGAAGCATGGGAAAAAAAGCACGGTATCTCTGAAGTGCAGCACCAACAGGTGTTTTCGAATGTATTTTAAGACCCTGAAACAACTCATGAGTTAGAAGATCAAACGTCAATCAAAATAACTGGAACACGAGCAGAGAGCCAAGGTTGGCCGGCTGAGCCTATGAATGGCGCTAAAACGCCTTGTTTATCTCAGCACGTGTGCACACGCTAAGCCTAGAAGACACCCGAGCAGCCCACCCGCTCCTCCCCGTCAGGCCAGCTGAAAAAGCACGGAAAAGACACAGCCAAGTAACGGGCGCGGATTCCCGGCAGCGGTTCTCACTATAATGGACAGATGAGTGGAAAAAACAAGAAAGAAAACAACCTTGCTTGGCACCATGCCCACACACACATCCCAGTGCAGTGGGGGAAAAGAGGCCGGGGGCACATACCAGCCGTGTATCAGCTTTCTGGCCCAGAGGACAAGCAGATCTGGCAGATGCCTAAATACCAGCCACTCACAAGGTCCTGAATGCACCTTCCCACACCCCTCCACAAGCGGGAACCCCAGAGGCCCCTCTGCAGAGCTCCCTCGCTCCAAGAAGGTAGATGCTGACAGCCATCAAGCAGCACCTCCCCACCACGCCCCCGCCACAGGCACAAGCTCACCTTTCTTGAACTCCTCCAGCATGGCATCGAGCTTGGTGTCGTTGAACACAAAGTGCAGAGGATGGTTGTAGAAGCGGGTGATGGTCTTTAGTGGCGTGCAGTCATCGGGGTCCACAAAAGCCAGGTCCTTAACAAAGAGCAAGTCCACGATGTTGGAGCGGTCACCCTCAAAAACGGGGATGCGGGTGTAACCACTCTCCATGATCTCAGACATAGTGTTGAAGTCGAGCACAGCCTCGGCAGCAATCATAAAACAGTCTCGGAGGGGAGTCATCACATCCTCCACGGTCTTAGTGCGCAGTTCCAGGGCTCCTTGGATAATGTTGAGCTCCTCCTTGACTAGATCGTTATAAGGGTCGGTGACCCGCAGCATCTCCAACAACTTCTCACGGTTATAGACCGTGCCGATCTCCTGGCCCAGGACACAGTCCAGCAACTTGCTGACGGGGTAGGAGGCCGGGAAGGTCATCATCATGAAAAACTTGGTGAGGAAGATGGTGTTGGCGCCCACGGCCAGGCCGTGCCGAGAGCAAATTGCCTGCGGCACGATCTCGCCGAAGATGACGATACCGATGGTGGAGACCACCACGGCCACCAGCCCAGAGCCGGCAATGTCATCCAGCAGGATGGTAAGTGTGGTATTGACCAGGACATTGCCGAGCAGGAGGGAGCACAGCAGGTAGTTGCCCTGACGCCGGACAGGTTCGATGCGCTTGGCATAGTTCTTTTCTTTGTCCGTGCCACAATTCTGCACGATGCGCAACTCCATGGGGTCCAGGGCCATCAGGCCCAGGTTGAGGCCACTGAACATGCCCGAGAGGCACAGGAGGAGAGAGATGAAGATAACTTGCAGCCAGAAGGGCAGCAAGAACTTCTTCTCCTCACCCACGATCATCTTGGTGTCCTCGCCGTCGTGGTAGATCCAAGTGGTCTCACCCCAGGGCGGGGGTCCCGCCGGCCCCTCGGCCCCTGCCAGCCCCCCGGGAGTGCCGGGCCCCAGGGCGGCGGCGGCGGGGGCCGAGACGGAGGTGCACAGGTAGTAGGACTTGCTCTTCTCCGTCTTGCGCAGGGGCTTGATCTCGATCTCGATGATGCCCGAGGTGCGGCGGTTGAGCACGATGTGCGGCAGGATGATGATGTCCGAGGTGCGGATGCCGCAGCGCTGCGGGGCCCCGCCGCCGCTCGCCGCCACTCCGCCGGCCCCGCCGGCGCCGCGCCCCGCCGACCCCGCCGCCGCCCGCCCGCCCTGCCGCTCTTGCTCCGTGAAGGCGATGCGGGACCACGTCTCGTTGTTGATGTTCTGCCCGT